TTAAAGATAGGTTTCTTATTCCTTTCCTTTCCAGTCTTTCTCCTCTCCTCTAGCTATACTGTATATTTGAAGTTGTGCTAGTAGGTCACACTCAGCTGAGTCTTGCTCTTTTAGTCTTCTCTACATTGCTTTTTCATTGGAGCATTTACATTAACATTTAATGTAATTGATATGATGGATTATAGGTTTACATTATGTTTTCTGTTTGACTTATCTTTTAGTTCACGTCTTCCCCTCTTGCCTTCTTTCAGGTTATTTGGATATATTTTAATATTCTGTTTAATCTGTTAGCTTTTTAGCTATACCTTTATTTATATCTAAGGATTTTTTTTTTTTTTTTTGGTACTGGGGATCAAACTCGGGTCCTTGCGCTTATGCAGCAGGCGGCAAAACCACTGAGCTAAATCCCTGGCCCTTTTTTTTTTTCTTTTTGAGACAGGGTCTCACTATATAATCTAGGCTGGCCTTGAACTTGTTGATGATACTCCTGCCTCAGCCTCTACACTGCTGGGATTACAGGCATAATTTTAATATACAGTGCATCCCTAATTATCTATTTATTTATACGTACTGGGGATTGAACTCGAGACCTTGTGCTTGTGAGGCAGGTGGAACCACTGAGCTAAATCTCTGGCCCACATCTCTAATATTTTGCCCTGTATTCAGTTAATATTCTGCCACTTCGTATGTGTAGAAACCCTCCAGTTATTTAGGTCCTCTTTGCATTTTCCCTCACTATTCCCCATAGTCATATTATGAAGTGCATTCTTATACATTATAACTTTTATCTTTAATGATACGTAATTTTCAACATTTAAAAAACAATTTTTGATGCTTACCTGGATATCTCCTGTTTCTGGTGCATTAATGCATTCCATAAGGTTCAGGTTTTTCCTCTGCTATATTTGCTTTTGGCCTAAACAATTTTTTTATAGTGCAATTCTTCTTATCAATAAATTCACTTTGGCTGGGTTTGGTGGCCCAGCCCATGCCTATAATCCCAGCACTGAGGAGGCTGAAGCAGGATTGCCACAAGTTTGAGATTAGCCTGGACTACAAAGCAAGACCTTGTCTCAAAAAATCAAATAGATGGATGCATGGATGTATGCGTGGATAGGAGGGGTGAATTCACTGTTTTCATTTCTCTGAAAATGTCCATATTTTGACTTTTTTCTTTTTTTAATGTTGATCTTTTTAAAAATGTTTCTTGAGAATATTTTCATTAGATACGCAGTTGGATTTACTTTTACTTTTACTTTCAGCACTTTTAAGCTATTCATTTGTCTTGTGACTTCCACCATTTCTGATGAGAAATCCAGTCATTGCCCAGTTGATATTTCCCCGTATGTGATACATTGTTTTTCTCTGGCTGGCTGTAGTCTTTTCAAGTCAGTTGTGTTGTGTCTCAGTGTAATTTGTCTTTGATTTGTTATTGTGGTTCATTTAACTTTCCAGATTTACAAATTTGTCTTCCATTAAATTTCTAAAATTTTTAGTCATTATTTCTTCCATTCATTTTCTATCCTTCTTCTCTTCCTTCTGGAAATCACAGATACTCATCAGACCTTTTGAGATTGTCCACAGCTTTCTGAGGTTCTGTTCTTTTCTCTTTCCCTGTCTTTTTTCATTCCTTCCTTTCTGGTTTTTTTTCCCCATCAGATCAGGTAATTTCTACTTAGTGATCTTTGAGTTTGCTGGTTCTCTCCTCTCTTTTTTATTCTAATTTTAAAATAAAGCCTATCCACTGATTTTTTTTTTACCCTTTCAATAATTGTAGTTTTCAGTTTAAATTTTTGACTTTGTTATCTCTTCACTAAGATGTCCTTCATTATATTTTCATTTGTGTTTATTTCATTGAGGATAATTATAACAGCTACTTTAAAATGTCTCATAATTCCAACATTTTTTGGCATGGGGATCTATAGATTACTTTTTCTCTTGAAAATAGGCTACATTTTCCTGTTACTTGGATGTGAGAGATTTTTTTGGTATGTAGACATTGTGAATATTATGTTTTATGTATTCTGCATTCTTTTAACATCTTCTGTATAATACTGTTATTTTTATTTTACCTGGAAGTTGACTGTCTTAGACTCAAACTATAAACTCATTCTCTCATCTTCTGTGGGTGGTGGCTTCAATTTGAACTGTATTTATTATGCCTCTGCTTTGATGCTAATCTGTTCATGTATATTTTAGGGGTCACCCTAAGACTTTTGTGGTATTTCATACACAGGATTGTGGAATCTTTTTTGACTTTCTCGCTGTATGGAATTCTCTTCTCTCTGATCTGCCTATTTTTAGCTGAACTCTTTCCCTTGTTCCTCTTGACAGAAAGACAACTTTAGGTGTTTACACCTCACAGCTACTGCCCAACCATGGGGCAAAGCTGTAGCAGAATAGGAAATTCATCCAGTTGCTGTTCTCTCCAAGTTTTGACTTCTTGCCACAATATGTCTGTTTACCCAGGTAGCTGTGCCACCACCACTGCTGCCAGTTTGTAGTTATTAATAGCAGAAGATTGGTTTGTAGCAGTATCACACTGCTTTACTCCAAGTGGAACTTGAATAAGGATTCCAAAAGGGACCATTCTCAGACTGACTGGTACTCTCCAGATTAAATTCATTGATACGGCATTTGTTCACAATTTAGATTTATGTTTGTAGCAATAACAGTTATTTTGCCTAGACCCAGTAGCTTTTACTAATCAAAGTACTTGCCTATTAATAATATAGAGTCAGTGCACCTACAAATAACAATCTATACCATACTATTGAGAACATCTACGGATGTAAAGAGAGTGCCCTTTATTGACTGTATTGAAAAATGAAAGTATCCATGAGGAATTATTAAAATTTTTTTAAAATTTACTGTCTAATAGCTGAATCATAAATCTGACTGTAAGGGAATACAGTGCCTCATATTAAAGTTGTCTCCTTTCTCATTAATTACTATTGGGTATTCCTTTGTGTATTCTGGCATCAGCAGCAGATATATTCTAGTAGTTGTCATAGTATCTAGCATTTATTGTGTATTTCAGGTACACTGCTAAGTGTTTTACATGAATTTCTTGATTAACGGTCTTAAACCTCTAAAGAAAGTGATCCTCTTTTTATAGATGAGGAAACAAGCATAAAGTTTGAGTAATTTGCATGAAATCACCACACAGGTTTCCCTTTTTCATTCCAGTAGGGTAGAGCAAGAATTAACCAGAAGTCTGGGTTGAGATGACTTCAGTTGAGTTAGAGGAACATGGTATTTGCAGTTTTGTAAAATAATCCTCTCTGTTAACTCACATAACTTAAGTTGACTGGCATTAAAATCAAACCATGGACAGAATTGTTTTTATGGTTCTTCTAACTTCTCTTTCTGAACCCCTTTTCCATTTTTACCTGATTTTCAGTGCTCAGTACCAGAGTGCTAGATTCTAGCCTGTATGTTTGGCTTTATGCTTTTCCTTCATTTCAGTCATGTTTCCTGCTCCCTACCCTCAGGTTGTTTAGATTACCTGATGAAAGAAATTCATGCTAAGGAATTTAGAGATAAGAGATTGACCTCTGAAATGTGTCTCAATGAAATCATTCTTTTGCTCTTCTGTTTGCTTTTGTTTTTATTTCATGATGCCTGAGATTGAACCCCAGGGCCTTGTGCATGCTAGGCAAGTGTTCTATCACTAAGCATTACCCCAGCCCCAAGTGTTACCTTTTAAAAGTGTGTGTTCAGTTGGTGGCAAGTGTGGTACCAGTGTTTTTTCCAGAGAGGAATGTATGGGACTGACATCCTGCTCACTTTTACCTTCTCTGACTTCATCACTGAGGCCAACTCCTGGGGGCTCATGAAAGCAAGGGAGAGAGAAAAGGTATTCAAAATTACAAATGCAGAAAACCTTCAGTGTTTTTTAAATTAGTACATGTTTGTACTGTATAATCACATTCTTTGTGAGGAGTTGGTACATGTTACATTAACATATCTTAATTTTTTAAAATTCCCTTCCCCTTCCCTAACCTTCAGCATTCTTTTGACATGTGAGCTCTACAAGCGACACATATGAACTTGTATGCATATATTTAGAATATTGCTCACAGTATTCTCTTAAACACAAAGGAAGAATAAGAAAACAATAACTGAGAAGCTTAAACCAGAGGAATTTCTTTTTCTCTTAGGTAAAAGTTTGAGTTGATAGATTGGATCAGAAGGAGATAAACTCTGTTCAAGGTCATTTGGATTCTTACCATTCTTGTTTGTCCAGAGTATTAATACCTGAGTTTTATGGTTAAGTATAACTACCACTGTATCTGTGTACCAGCCCACAATAAGAGAGAAAGAGTTTTCAAGGCAAGTCCTTTCAGAGACATGTTGCAAAACTCGCAAACATAGGTGGGGATAATGGTACATACATATAATTCTAGCACCCTGTGAGACTGAGGCAAGGAGATCCCAAGTTTAAGCCCACCCTGGATAATTGAGTGACTTAGACCCTCTCTCAAATAATTTTTTAGAAGGGGTAGGGCTGGGGATGTAGTTTAGTGTGTAGGTCCTCAGTTCAATCTCCAGTACTGGGCAGGAAAAATGTTGCACACATTGTTCCTGCTCACATCTCGTTAGCCAACTTTAGTCATATAGCCACAGCTAACTGCAAATGAGTTTGGAAAAGAGAACTGTAGCTGTAAAGAATTATATAGGGTTCTGTTACTAAAAGGGAGAAGGGAAGAATAGATATTAGGTCTACTAGCTGTCACCCCTACAGAAGTTTGCTGACAATTTTTGCCAGCCTGTCCTGTACCATTTTAAAAGAGTTGTTAAAGAATAGCTGTACCAGTGAACCTTGTGATTTCAGATCAGTAGCATACTAAGATAAAGATGGTATTTCAGTAGCCTGTGTGTTTTCAGAAACAATGCACAAAACTGAATGTTAGAGAATTTGATGAAATCCCTTGAAACTGTGTTAAAATTGCTGGATATATGAGCTAATAATTATTTATTTTGTTCTTGTATTTTAGGCCTCAACTCCATATAGCATAGATTCAGATTCTTTGGGAATGGAGTGTATTATTTCGGGAAGTGCCTCTCCAACTCTGGCAATCAACACTGTGACTAACAAAGTAATTCCATTTTTTGAACATTTTTGCAGTATCCTTGAACCTATCCATTTTTGCAACACCTCTTGAACCACTGCTCTTGGTTACTAAAAAAATAGTAAAAGAATATACAAGTGGTAAGGAAAAATAATAAATCTTTGGCCAATTCAAAAGTAAGGAAGAAGGAAAATAACAAAGAGGAAGATGAGGGTAAAAGAAAGCAAATAGTATTTAAATCTACATTAGGACTTACATTAATGTAAGTACATAAAATACTCAGTTTAAAAGACAAAGATCAGATCGAAAAAACACTAGCTTGTAAGAGATCTTTTTTTTTTTTTTGTGGTACCGGGAATTAAACTTGGGGCCTTGCGCTTGCGCAGTAGCGGAGAAACCACTGAGCTAAATCCCTGGCCCTGTAAGAGATCTTAAATGAAAAAGAAGACACATTACTAAAAAAGGATGTTTAATTATGAGAAGTGATAGCAAAGTATAATGCTAAATTTATATATCTAATTTCATAGTCTCAAAAGATGACATGGTTGAAAAGAGAAATGAACAACTCCTGTATCACAGTGGTAGAATTAAACATTTCTGTAAACTCATGAAACAAGCAGGCCAACTTCAAGACAACAAACAAAAACTTCCCTAAAGATAAGAAAATTAGAACCACAAAAAGGAAATCTGACCCAGTTGACTTACATGTAGAATTGCATCTGATAGTTGCAGAATATACTTTTTTTTCTTTTTTTTGAGATACTGGTGATTGAACCCAGGATCTTGCACAGGCTAGGCAAACACTCTTAACTCTGAGCTTCATTCCCAGCCCCAAATTATACATTGAACAGTTACAAAATTAACCATACATTGATCTGTGTTTGACCCTAAAGGAAGTCTCAACAGATTTCAGAAGACTGACATTGTACAGTTTATTTTCCATTACACTGGAATTAAGGTAGAAGTATTAACAAAAGAATATCAGAAAATTCCTCCAAAATTTACAAGTTAAACATTATAGTTCTAAATCATAGATTAAAGAAACATGATAGAAAATAGAACATACCTTGATGAAAAATACAAATATGACGTATCAAGGCCTATGTGATCTACTTAAAGTCATAGCCTTAATTATATATACTGCTAGACTAAACAGGTTGAATAGTAACAATTTAAGCATCTAGAAAACAAGCAAAATAATTTTAAAGAAGAAAGAACTGAAAAATAAGTGGTCAGTGAACTAGAAAATACTTACAAAATAGCAGTAATCAACAAATGAGAAACTCAAGAACTTTTATAGGAATATGAAATAGGGCATGTACAAGGAAAAAACCACAGTGTTTGGTATCTAATTAAAATTTACCAGACATAATAAAAACATCTCATAATGTGGAGAAAATGAGCAGTCAAAACTGACCCAGAAGTTACATGGATGATAGAATTAGTGTAGTAAAGAACAACAGTTGTAACTATTTTATGGAGAAGCTAAAAAACACATTGAACATGTTGTGTGGATACATGGATGATATAAGAAACTCAGATCCTAGAGTCATTATTCACTGATATGGGTGTTTATATAGAAAACTCAAAAAATCATACTGGTAAAACTTTAGAGCTTTTTTAAGCTTCTTTATATAAAAATCTCTTCAGTGAGGTCTCTTGAAAGAAGATCAGTGTTAATCAGTTGTATTTTTGGTTATACTAACCACAGTCAGAAAATAAAGTTTAAAAGATAGCATTTGTGTTAGCATTTAAAAACATCAAATACTCAATCGGACATGGTGGCATGTGCGTGTAATCCCAGCACTCTAGCAGGCTGAGGCAGGAGGATCTCAGGAGCCTGGCCTGGGTGATATTTAGGAAGACCCTATCTCAAAAACAAACAAACAAACAACAAACTATATTAAAGATAAAGTCTGGAGAGAAGCTCAGCCAGTCCCAGCACCCGGAAGGAAGCTCCCCCGCTGCCATCCAGGCTCCTAGGGCAGAGAAGGTGAGCCGGTCCCAGCACCTGGAAGGAAGCTCCCGCCTCCATCCCGGGCTCCTAGGGCAGAGAAGCTGAGCCGGTCCCAGCACCCGGAAGGAAGCTCCCCTGTTGCCATCCCAAGCTCCTAGGGCACAGAAGGTGAGCTGTGTGGGCACCAGAAGCACCCCCCCCCCCGGAAATGAGAAGACACATAAACAAGCCTCAAAAACAGAGTTCCAGATCACCTACAGCAACCCCAAAGGGAAACGAGATGGAACAAT